TGTAATGTAACCCAGAGGCCAATGCCTACCATTGTATGGTATAAGAATGACACAAGGATAGAGCCCAATACAGTCGATGATACAAATCCCAAGTATATATTATTAGATGATGGACGGTACTTAGTTATATATAATTTGGTTGATGCTGACATAACTGCTACTTATAAATGTGGAGTTATTAATGTTGTTAATCCACAGACTTCAAATGACACCTACACATTGTATAAAGGTAGGGAAATGTGTTGCACAGTCATTTATGTGCCTTACTCCCTCTCTCTCACTTTATTTTCTCTAGTTGATACAATACCTGGTGGTATGAATGCTTTTATAGCATATCGTCCTCCAATTACTAATCAATATGTATCTAGTCAAGATTCCACTATTTCATATTTTTACATTGCTGCAACTAATGGTGCTACTGAAGTTGGTGGTAGTGGTGCTATTACACCTACAATGCAAGATGGGGACTTACTTCGAATAAGATATACAAATACTTTAGTCTCAACATCTGGTCTTAATGTGATTTTGGATCGAGATAGTATTAATGTTGATACCTCTATAACTGTGGGGTATACTGTTGTAGGTAAGCATATATAATAAACTATATAATTTCCCTTTGTCTACTACTTCTTTTTCAGATCCATTGGCTGTCTCTGACTTCCCATCAGTAGTGAATGCTTCTTCATTCCATCGTTTTGAATCAGAAAGCATCAGCTTTACATGTATGGCTAACGGAACCAACCCAAGGCTAAGCTGGTACTTCAATGGACTCCCACTAGATCATAATGACGAGACTCTGGTACTGACTAATCTATCAGTAGCAAATGCCGGTATATATCAATGCTTCTGGGACGGATTCTTTGAGCACGAGAGAGAGTCAGTATCCTGGGCACTCTCTGTACAGATACCCAGTAAGTATTAATAGATAATGTGTTATATCAGTGTATACACTTAATGAATGCACGCATGAATGAATGTACATGTGTATGTGGGAACATGTAAGTATGCATAATATGTATGTGTTTATGTATGTATGTGTACATATACATGTATGTATTTAGATAAGTGTGTATCTTTTTATGTTCATGTATTCGTGTTATTTTAAAGCTATTTTTGGTAATATGTGCTCATGTAGATATACATGCATTTAGTTAGCAACTGTGAAAAATATCAATAATCCTCCCACTTCCACTAATAGGTTGACCTTATTTTTGTTTTTCTTTCTTTCTTTCTTTCTCTCTCTCAGTTCCTCCTAGGAATATAGTGCTATCTGTATCACAAGGAACATTAATAGATTCTAATAGGACACTTCTTCCAACTGGATTACCAGCCACTCTCGATATATCATTTGTATCAGACTCCTTACCAGCTGTAGCATGGATGTACACTGTTGATAATGTAACTGTGGAAATAAACTTTACCAACAATACAGACTACATTGCAGCTGGTCCCGTACTGGTCCATAAGGATGAGGATATTTATCGGGTAAGTATGAGAGGAAGGAATAATTACTATTAATGAATGATGCACTAATAATAAATATGAAGCTGTTTATGAAGATGAATGCACATTTATGATGAGAGAAGGAGAGGGGGGAAGAGATAAAAATGTAGAGGGGGAAACTGGTAATGAGAAAAGCTAAAGGGAGTTCTTTGAATGGATTTATTGTGATAATTGTTATGATAAGTATCACCTTGTGGTTATGGCTGGTATGAATGGAATGTGACCATACCCTCTCTGTGGTTAATATACACACACACACACACACACACACACACGAGTCAATATGACCTCACCACTGTGTTAGTGTGTTACATGACCTCTTAATTGTGTGTTGGCTATAACTTGTTAAGAATTCTGCATTGCTCAACCAATCATACATATACTGTGAATAAAGTGATGCAATATTTATTTTGTAATTATTATGATATGTTGATACATATCAAGTCCTGATTGTGTTAGATGATATTATTGTTAATATTATGATACCATACACATATCATGTCTTGATTTTTCTAGATTTCTCTAACCGTTAATAATGTCAGTGCAAGCACTTCAGGTTTCTATCATGCTGTTATTGACGACAGTAGGACCACACCCACTGCAACCCATCAGTGGTTTGTCTCGCAATACAGTAAGGGAGAGAGAGAGGAAGAGAGAATAAAATACACTATTGATATTATTTTTTTTAACAAATATTTTTATTGAAATTTTTATTGTCATATTTTTTATCTTTCTCACTATAATACAGTTCCTCTATCTACACCCGAGTTATCGTTTGGCCCTTTCCCTTGCTTCCTCCAGTCTGAGAGCTCTTTTGTCACATGCTCTGCTCAATCCTTTCCTGATCCGAAAATTACCCTAATTCATAGCAACAATATGCTCACGAATGGGATTACGACCTTCAATCAGTTTACTGGTTTAAAGATCTACACCGTCACTATTCGTAATTCAATGGCGGACGCTGGCATTTACACATGTCAAGCAACAGCATCTAATACAACTACACCACCAGCAGCAGATTTGGATATAAAATTTTGTAGTGAGTTATTAATTTTTATGTAGCATTATTAATCATGAAGCATTTTGAAATAAAATGTCAGAGAAATAGAATGCCATCACCCTTGCTTTCTCTCCCACAGGAAAACCCACCATAGAAAGTGTGCCTACTTTAAGTGGTAACACAAATGAACCTGTCAATATAAACTGCACAGTGAACAGTGCTCCTACAGACGATACTAAGGTCACTTGGAGTTTCAACGGAGTTCGAATCGAAAACAGTGATAGAAGAAGGATTATCTCCGTTACTGGTAACATCCACCAGATAAGGATTATATCGCTACAAGACTCTGACGCTGGAAATTATACTTGTTTTGTTACTAATTCATTAATACCGGCTACTGCCAGTGCTACTATCGCACTTACAGTCATTCGTAAGTCCTATGCAATTACACATATATTGTGATACAGTGTCTCTGATCTTGTAATGTACATGTAAATCCTTGTTCTTTAAAATAAGGTTAATGACGTGACTCTCTTTATTATAGCTCCTCCTGAGGCGCAAGACGATTTTCCAATTTTATACGTAGCGGTAGGTGTTGGAGGAGGCGTGGCTATACTACTGATAGTGATCATTATCATCATAGCATGCTGCGTCTGCTGTTATATAGCCTCAAAGAAAAAAGGTAAGTTTAGAACTATCAGGGTTGACTGTGATTAAACATAATGTAATTGTATGTTTACCAAAAGAATGTAATTTGGAAGTGTTTATATATACACATTGTATATAATGAGCTGCCCGTTTGTACAATAATAGTATTAATCATTATTATTATTCACTTGGCAATGATGCATGTAAACTTGTACGTAGTTTTGTTTACACAAACAACATATTGCCAAACTCGCGTACAAAATAGTACAATCATTGACTCTCTCTTTTGTTTTGTAGGTAATTACAATACCACGAGGCCTCATCTAACTAAGGACTATACCGATGGGCGTGGCAACGTCGATCAGGACTCGGACGAAGAAGACGGCGGAGCCGAAGAGCCCGAAGCATTCCAGCCTCAATACGAGTCTCTCCCTGCACTGAGACCGGCACAGCCTCCTCAATACAAACCCTCACCTGCTTATAACCAAGGATATGGAGGTACGTTGACTATTGTAATGATGACAATAATGATCCATTCTGTTATCCTAAACTTAACAATGTTTATATAGCATCACTCGTCTTGTTTACTATTGTATAAGGGGACACTCTTTACCAATAATGTCTCTCCCTCTTTTGTCTCCCCTTTAGGTGAAGACATTGAAATGAAAAAGGTTCCGTTACCTGATTTTGATGACTACCCCCCTCAGTTTTATCGTCAAGACAACGGGGGAGGGGGAATGATGGCCAGCTCTGTTCCCATAGGCAGTCAGGCTGGTCTTC